TAGAGGAGCCTAAAAGAATTAAATCAGGAGAGGAGCCTAAAAAAACTAAAATCAGGAGAGGAGCCTAAAAAAATTAAAATCAGTAGAGGAGCCTAAAAGAATTAAATCAGGAGAGGAGCCTAAAAAAACTAAAATCAGGAGAGGAGCCTAAAAAAATTAAAATCAGTAGAGGAGCCTAAAAGAATTAAATCAGGAGAGGAGCCTAAAAAAACTAAAATCAGGAGAGGAGCCTAAAAAAATTAAAATCAGGAGAAGTGATGAAGAGAAATAAATCAGGAGAGGCGCCAAAACAAAATTAAAATCAGGAGAGGAGCCTAAAAAAATAAAATCAGGAGAAGAGACGAAGAGAACTAAAATCAGGAGAGAAGACTAAGAGAATAAAAATCAGAAGACTAAGAGAATGAAGTCAGGAGAAAAGCATAAATAAATTGAAATCAGGAGAGGAGCCTAAAAAAAATTAAAACCAAGAGAGGAGACGGAGAGAACTAAGATCAGGAGAGGAGCCTAACAAAAATTAAAATCTAGAGAGGAGCTTAAGAGAACTATAATCAGGAAAGAAGCGTAAAAAAATTGAAATCAGGAGAGGAGTAAAAAAAAAATTAAAACCACGAGAGGAGACTAAAAAATTAAAATCAGGAGAGGAGCCTAAAAAAAATTAAAATCAGGAGAGGGGGCTAAGAGAATAAAATCAGGAGAGGGGGATAAAAAATTAAAATAAGGAGAGGAGCCTAGAGACAATAAAAGTCAGGAGACAAGCCTAAAACAAATAAAATCAGGAGAGGAGACGAAGAGGAAAAAAATCAGGAGAGGGAGCCTAAAAAAATTAAAACCAGGAGAGGAGACTAAAAAATTAAAATCAGGAAAGGAGCCTAAAAAATTAAAATCAGGAGAGGAGCCTAAAAGAATAAAAATCAGGAGAGGAGCCTAAAAGAATAAAAATCAGGAGAGGAGCCTAAAAGAATAAAAATCAGGAGAGGAGACTAAAAAATTAAAATCAGGAGAGGAGCGGAAGAGAACTACAATCAGGAGAGGAGACTAAGGGAATCAAAATCAGGAGAGGAGCCTAAAAAAATTATAATCAGGAGAGGAGTCTAAAAAAATTAAAATGAGGAGAGGAGACAAAGACAAAAAAAAAATCAGGAGAGGAGCCTAAAAAAATTAAAATCAGGAAAGGAGCCTAAAAAAAATTAAAATAAGGAGAGGGGGCTAAGAGAATAACATCAGGAGAGGGGGATAAAAAAATTAAAATCAGGAGAGGAGACTAAGAGAACTAAAATAAGGAGAGGAGCCTAAGAGAATAAAAATGAGGAGATGATACTAAAAAAACTAAATTCAGGAAAAGAGCCTAAAAAAATTAAAATCAGGATAAGAGCCTAAAAAAAAAATCAAAATCAGGAGAGGAGCCTAAAAAAATTGAAATCAGGAGAGGAGCCTAAGAGAAAAATATCAGGAGAGGAGCCTAAGAGAATAAAAATCAGGAGAGGAGTCGAAGAGAACTAAAATCAGGAGAGGAGACTAAGAGAACTAAAATCAGGAGAGGAGACTAAGAGAACTAAAATCAGGAGAGGAGCCTAGAGACAATAAA